CCACAAGCCATTTAAATTGAACAACTCTGATTGCAAGTGGAGTTATACATGTGCCAAGGAGGAATCATTATCTCTGTCCAAAATGGCAAATAATTTATTTCTGAAATAAGTTTTGTGAGGATGCGAGTCTGATTAAGACAAACAAAAGTTAATCTGATGTAACATGAACATGTAGGCAAGCCTTAAGAATAAAGTGACACGTTCTGAAAAACCTCTACCTAGAACAAAATACAGTAGCAGCAAAAGTTGCTGTGAATACATCACCAAAGTATCCAGCCCTGTTTTGGCTTTCTGTTGAGTATGGAGCTCAGTTTGATGGCTCAGACTTAATAGTCAAAGCTAAGGCTGGCCAACCTGAGCTTGAAAAGGAGCCAGAATTTACCAGTGTGCATTGCTGAAGAGCCACAGTTATGCAGCAGCAGCTCTCAGCACCTCCTGCTCACCACCAGATCAGTGCCTCCCCACTCCAGGATTCTCCTGCATGCTGTAATCAGCTGGTTCCTGATGGTGCCGGACCATCAGGAGTGCCGGACCATCAGGGTTTTTTGTTCAATGTAAGTTTCTGGGCAAGGTGTAAAGATCCTAATAAAAATGAAGTTTCTCTTTGTATTGTAGCATTTACCAATAAAGAACGTATATAGTGTTAGCCTATGGAAAAAACAAAGGGAATTAAATCCAGAAATTTATACTAGTTAAAATATTAATACTCCCATACTAACACTGAAGTCAAACAATGAAAAGGTTAAATCTCTCTTGATAAAGAAGGCTAAATGCCACACATCAGACATATGGGTTTTTTTATTACTACCCCAAATCTACATATTAACATCCAGCAAACCTAATTCTGTTCTTAGGTATGCACTTGGACTTCAGTTCATTTGTAAAGGAACTGAGCAGCTGATGACCAAGGGTAAACAAAGGCTCCATGTGTGCAAAAAGAACAAGTCAGAGTTATTATGAAAACTTCAATTTTGCACTTCCTGACATGAGTTCTGTAGCATTCCGTGAAATGTAATTTGTATTTAATATAAAATGGCTGTATTATATTCAACTGTCTTACATGCATAAGATAAGTAAATAAGCCACGTGTCATTCCATTTTTATTGCGTGCCTCTTAAAAGCTATGGTGGCTGTATACCAGCTGAGAAGTCCCCCACCATGGACAAAGCTTCAGCTGCCTATTTAAGAGAGATGTAATGTCCCTTTTGTATCGTTCCAGTAGAATGGATGAACTTTAGATGGGCCAAAGGTCTGATCACTTGCTCTTTTAAACATCAAGAGCATCTAAGACATTATTGGCATTATATAATGAACAATAGCTAAACAATGGAATTGCTCTTATTAAAATTGTTTTGATGTACATTGCTGATATCCAACAGTACTTATACTTTAATCACATTGCTAAGTAACTAACAGTGCATTTGAGATTTTAAACGTTGTGAAGCATTCCTGTAAACATGACTCTGTCAGTCTTACATTAAATAGAACTTAGCACTGAAAGTAGTTCTGCTTAAATCAATTTGATAGCTTATTAAATAAGGCACTACTTGATGTAAGAGTGACCAATGTGCCATACATAATATCCACTCAATGGTACTCTGTTCTTTGTATCTTTAAGGTTGACAGAATCATTTTTAAAAGGCATAGACTGACATGGACTTTGCTAAGAGATTTATAAACAGAATATTAAAAATTGTTCAGTAGGTCACCTTTGTGCAGAGGCCAAATATAATATTCTTTTAAACATACTTTGCTGAGGCTGATAAGCCACTCCAACTGCTCCTCTCTCAGCTATCGACTAAGACATAGGTCCCTTGTTTGAGACCTTACCTTGGGTAACGCAGCCTTCAGGTTCTTTTTAAATGTGTTTATACAATAGAAGATGAGACGCTTAACTTTCTGAGACCAGATGGTGCACACACTATATGGTAGAGAACATGTATACACTGATTTAGATCTTACAGGAAACCATGTAATGAAAATACCAAAGAGAAATTATATCAAACAATTTTATTTTAAAATCCTAAAAAGGATCTCAATGTTTTTATACAATATGATCCACAATCTTTTACTGGTAGGATTTGAAATAATGAATCATTCTCTCACAATATACCAAAAAAGGCAGTACAGACAGATTATGGACTATTTTCTTTTACACAGCAAGAAAACTGATACCAAATTTGAGAGAGATGGGGAGCACCTAAACTATTTTTCCCCTCTCTACAACCTAAACAGCTAGACTATTTTTTTAAAATTATATATAATTCATTCCCAAGAAAAGATTTTGTAGGCAAGGTTTCAGCCAGGAGCTGTTTTATGCCCAGTTCTCCCCCCTCTCCCCCAAAACAAAAAAAAAGGAATGAGTAACTAGACACAGCAAAGTGAAAAAGATTCAGGGGGGGTAGCTGTGTTAGTTTGTATCTGCAAAAATGAGGAGTCCTGGGGCACCAATTCATCAGATGAAGTGGGCTTTACCCATGAAAGCTTATGCCCTAATAATTCTGTTAGTCTCTAAGAGGACACAGATCTCCTTGTTTTTTTTTGTAGAAACAGCAGCAGTCTTAAATACTACTATGCTACTGAGAGCCTCTTCATATACTCAGAGGCTACATCTACACTGGAAGCTTCTTGCACAAGAACTCTTTTGCGGAAGAGTTCTTGTACAAAAACTCTTCCAGAAGAAAGCGTCTACACTGGCATGTGCTTTTGCGCAAGAGCATCCATGCCAGTGTAGATGCTCTCTTGCACAAGAAAGCTCTGATGGCCATTTTAACCATAGGGCTTTCTTGCGCAAGAAATTCATGTTGCCTGTCTACACTGGCCTCATGCGCAAGAACAGTTGCGCAAAAGGACTTATTCCTGAATGGGAGCGTCAGAGTTCTGGTGCAAGAAGCCCTGATTTCATAAATTAGAACGCCAGTTTACTTGCGCAAGAACACGCAGCCAGTGTACACAGGCAGCAAGTTTTCGTGCAAGAGCGTCCGATTTGCGCAAGATCGTGCCAGTGTAGACACAGTCAGAGGTATTATAAGGGAAGATGCTTTTCTCATACGGATAAGCAAGACTGAACTTTTGCAGGCCCCTTAACCAATGTAAGAATTTTGAGGTTTCCTTTCAAGATACGTACTTTTTTTAAAATCAAGACATTGAGGTTTCTTATGGACATATGGAGTATTGCCATTATAGACAATACTTTTTCTTGTAAACGCACTGGGTTCTTCTGTCCTCATGTCTTCCTGACAAAAAGTTACCTTTTGATCTATTCTTGTTAAATGATCAAAATTCAGGATTTCTGCCTTGTCTCTCAGATCAAACACCAAACATGATTGGAATACTGTGCTACTTGCAGTTTAGTGCTTTGTTTCTTGCTCCATGCCATCTGAGCTTGAAGCTCTGTCTAGAGAAGCAGAGAGGCAACAGAGATGGGACACATATGTGTATTTGATTAAAAAAAATAAAGTACTTGGTTTGGAGTGTTTCTGCAATGGGAACATGCCACTGATATCAGAGCTGTTGTAGCTTTATCATCCAGCTTCCCAAGAATTAGGTTCACTTTTCAAACAATCACTGCATAGACACATTGTATGGGAAGAGGGGAGAAATACAAATCATTTTTAATCACTGATGATTTTAATATTTTAACACACTTACTATTTCCACAGCATCTATCTGTAAATAATCCTAAAAATGATATTGAATTTTCTGGATCTTGTGGCCTTGGGAAATTCACAGTGAAGAAGTTTCGCAAACTAAATGTCCTTACAAAATAAGCCTCGGGCACATTTATTTTGAGAAACTTTTTCACCTGCTATTTAACTGTGTTCCCAGAGAAAGCAAATATTTCAGAGTTATCTGAAGTACAAAAATGGCAAATATTGATCTGTCTCATGCTTGAACAAAGTTACTCTGAGTAGCATAAAAATGCTAAATAACCATTGTCAGAATCATATTTTCTAGCTTAGTTAGTACCATGCTGTCTCAGAAGATCTTCTGAATTCAAATGTGCAGGATAGAGATTTAGTAAAAACATTTCAGCAACATATTTTTCTTTCTGTCTCTCTCTTCTAATGGGAAAACATAGCTTGAAATCTAATCAACTGTACAGTAAAAAAACATTTAACCAGCCACAAAAGCTCACTGTCTTGTTTTCTTTTTGGGGGGAGGGATAAAAATAATATTTCTCTGTCCCCCATTACCGGTTCAAGACCCCCACAAACTAGGGTGACTAGACAGCGAGTGTGAAAAATTGGGACAAGCAATGGGGGGACGGGGAGGGTCCCTATAAGGGGGGGAAAAAACAAATGTAGAGACTGTCCCTATAAAATCAAGACATCTGGTCACCCTGACATAAACGTAAGGTGGTGGTACTTCTTGCTTCCAGTCCGGCAAGATGCTTTGCACAAGCTAGCACTCCAAGAGCGTCATAATAAAGGACTGAGACCTCACTGGCTACCTTGAAGCCCAGAAAAACTGAGCATCCACAAAAGTTGTCAACTACACAATGTAAAATCAAAACAATTCTCTTTATCTAAGGTGTTACTAGTATAGTAAATCCAAGTGTTTCAACGGAAGTGTGATATATTTCAGTTGCCCTTCAAATAAATGCAAAAAGGTTCATTATGACATTCTAGAGTCAAATCATCCAAATCCTTTACTAAAAAAATTCAAAAGATTCAAAAATTTGAAACCTAAAACCAAAAACATTTTTAAAATATCTGTCCTAAGCAACATTATGAAGAAGTTGCTTTCCTTGCTATTAGCTATACAAGAAATCCCACTGGGGTTTCACAAACCTGGGAAATGGCAATCTAACCATGACAAAAAAAAATCCTTAATAGCTGACCATACAGAGAGGTCACCAGAAACCTTAGGGAACAGAAAAGGGAAAACGCAAAGGCTAAAACCCTTCTTTTTAAAACCATTTCATACAATTTAATAAATTAATATTGTATCCTAATATGCTAACTAAAAGCAAAAGGACCACAAATCAAAACACCTACCATGTTCCACGAAGACATTGCAGTGTGGGCCTCCATGCCTAGATGATTCTTTCTTCCCTGCTCCTTTGATAAAATGCAGGGCAGGCAGACTTGGCCTTCTCTGGTCCCCAAGAACTTTTCCAGGCTGCTGCCCCATAAAGTAACAATAGGCAATCTTCCCCAGAACAAGCAGTGTAAGGACTGAGATCCCTGATCTTCCAGGTTGGCTGAGAGTTTGCAAGTAAAATATTTTAGGTGTGTGCGTTCGTTGTGTTTATCACATCAGCAAACAGCTCACATTAAGCAGAGTTCAGTCAGGTGCACAGATTCTTTCAACACTTTAGAAACTGCAACAAGATTCTTCTGGTGCCTTTATGCAAAGCTCTGTTATAAGATGTTCCATTTATTTAGCAGTTACAAGTGTTACCAAAGTTTCTTGTTTGTAATGAGTCTTCCACTGAGTAAGTGGGAGCTACTTTATCTTACCAATAAGAAAACCACATATAGGGCCACCCAGGGCAGGAAATAGTCATTCCCATTGCAATCAGTGTCAGGATTTCTTTTTTTCCTTTTCTTTTGCATAGCACTTAGTTAATAAAGGCCAAAAAGCCAGTGATTTGGCTTCAAGTATTATTAAAGTGAGAGAGAATCAACTGTGTCAAAGTCATTTTAGATTTCCAATTAAACAGTTCAAAGTCTTTGAGGATCCATAATGACCTTTGAGTAAGGGGGATATTTCAGAGGAACTTCCAATCATTGAAGACCAATAGGTTTGCCTTCTCTGATAAGTTTTCTGCTACCTCTCCAATGCTCTGAACAAAGTGAATGGGCACTTCGGGATCATTTTGGAGCAGAAACAATAACAATCATTGTGACAATACAAGTAATGAACTACCCATCTGCACCAGCTTGCTGCTTATAAGACAGAGAAGCCAACCCGGGCTTGTTCCTAATTGTTCATGAAAATACAAATGCCATTCTACTTGGTCCAGTCGATGCTGGTGGCAGGAAAGAGGCGTTAGTCCAGTGATGCTCTCCAGGAGGAAGGTTTCTGCACAGCAGCCAGAAAAGGTCAAGTTGGGGTGACGGGGCTGGCTTCATCCCAGCTGGGAGCTTAGCACTGCAAAAGGCCTACTTGGTGAATTATGTAGTACGGCTCTGGCTCCTAAGGCTTGGCAAGAGAGTCTGAGGCCAAGAACCCTAATCCCCACAGGCCCTGAATGGCCCCCAAGGGCCAAGGATTCCAATAGGACAAGGGACAGAAACCCCGGAGGGGGTGTCGAACCCCAGTCTGGGGTGGAGGAGAAGGAGCAAAAGGAGACAAAGGGGATGAAGCTCGCTCTGGTGGGGGGGAGGGACGATCCAACACCCCCGGTGAGGGAAGAGGACACACAGCGGGAGGGGGGGGTGTTAAGGCCTACT